GCCCTGTGTGCCGGCTGGCTCTCCCAGCCGGCCCCGGCCACCCTCCAACCCCTGGCCCCGTGGACACCCTACACGGAGTACGTGTCCCACGAAGCTGTCAGCTGCCCCTACTCAGCCGACACGTACGTGCAGCCCATGTGCCCGAGCTACACGGTGGTGGGGCCCTCCTCCGTGCTGACCTACGCCTCCCAGCCGCTCATCGCTAATGTCACGGTACGTCACACAAAAGCTTTGCTGCACCAGGGACACCCTTTGGGACCTGGGCTGACCTCCTGACCCCTGATCGTTCTTGCTACTGATTCTCAGGATAACTGAGTCTTCCAGCCCTTCCTGTCCCGCAGGGAGGCCTGCTCTTCCCATTGACCTTCCGCAAAGAAGGCGGATGGCCTCCCTTGTCGTACGTTGTGCTCTTTGGGGCGGGTTTGTTCTCCGGCCCCTTCTGCCCTAAATCTCCCCGTGCTGCCCCCAAAGCAGAAGGTCTTGGTCGGAAGTTTCGGTTTTCAGTGAATGGGGGTATCAGGTGAGGTCTGACTGGGGCCTTGCGCCACACCAGGGCTCTCTTTCTATTCCGCTGACTTAGAGGCTGATCGGTCACCTCACAGTGGGATTTGCAAGACGACTTTTCAGAAAACTACTTTTGATGAAGTCACACCCACCTACAGGGTAATTTGTTGAGTCCCGACTCTAGCATCAGATTGCTTGGGTTCAAATTCTTGTCCCTTACCAGCTATGTGATCCTGGACTGAGTAACTTAATTTCTCTGAGCCCCGGTGTCCTCATCTGTGAAATAGGTATATTAACAAGAGGGCTGATGTCAGGCTCGATCGGGATGATGCCCGTGGAGGACTTAACACAGTTCCTGGCATATAGAAAACACTCAATAAATGTTACGTTATGATTGTCTCAAAGTCGGCCAGCAACATTAACCAAGGGCTGCCTTCGAGTGCCCGATGGGAAAGAAAGGGCCTGCTCCCCCAGACACAAAGGAAGAGAAGTGGTTTTATGTGAATGGTATCTGTTTGAGCAAAGGAATGGGAATCCCCTAAGCGTTCGGAGGAGGAAAGGTCTATGGGTGTAGCTATATCCGGCCTCAGTTCAGGGAACACTCTGGGGGTGCGAGTTGGGGCCTCAGGAGTAGCTGCAAAGCCCACATGGAGGCGGAACTGGCTTTGGTTCCCCACCTCCCCCCACCCGTTTCCCTCAAGGGTTCAGCGTCATGCTGTTGCACCTGCCCTTTCATCACCATCCAGGCAAGGGCACGCAAGAGCTCTCCTCCCCCAACCCTACCTGGCTACTCTGCAAACCGGTTGTGGGCATGGATGATGGTGGCTAGAGGAGTGAATTCAACATCTTTCCCAAGCAACTCATTTCCATATCGGGGGCCTTTGGTGGGGGCGGGAAGCGGTGGACGTAATGGTTCTCAGTCATTTCAATCCCAAGGATTTCTCTCATTATTTATCCTTTCATTATCCCCACCTCCTACCTTGAAAGGCTCTGTGTATCAAACAGACCGTATTTATTAAGAAATAATTTGTTTGTTTTGCCGCTTTGTAAATCAACGCATCAAAGCTGGTGAGAGCTACGAGTCAGCACCCCTGATTAGCAGGAGATAAGACCTGTTAAAGCCCGGGGTTGGTGGAATTTCTATCCCTGAGCAAAGAAACCTGCACTCCCCGGTTTCTGACTCCACAAAGTAGGATTTCCATGGGAATTTGGAAATGCTGGAAACAGTCAGGCTTTGCTGGGAGGCTGGAAGGCCTCTGAGACCCTTCCCAGCTCTGTCATTCTATAGAAAAACACCCTAAAGCCTTGCTACTCGAGCTACGGTCCCCGGACCAGCCACCCTGGCGTCACCAGGGATCTGATGGGACATGCAGAATCCCGGGCCCTACTCCAGACCTCTTGTACCAAAACGGGCATTGTAGCAAGATTCCCAGGGGACTGACATAATCTCTCTTCTAAATGACTCTGTTCCCAGGGGCGGTAGGGGGAGACTTCAGCCTCTCTCACATCATTTCACGCAGAGATCTTCCTCCCCGTCCCTGCTGCCTCAGCTGCGGGAGACAGTCGGAACCCAGGCCCTGCCTCTCTTGCAGGCTTGACCTCAAGTGTGGTTTTATAAAGTGACCTTTATAGTGTGGTTGTTGCCCACGTGAGGGGTATTGTTTGTAGGGCACCTGCGAGAACGGCCGGGGACAGCCACGGGGGCCCAGCTCAGAGACAGAGGAGGATGAGGATGTGGCAGGCACCGGGTTCCCCCAGCGTCTGGGTCGGTCCCGAGCACGTGGGAGATGAGTGGCACCGTGTGGGCGGACCTCAGGGCGGACCACACACCATGTGTGTCCAGGCGTGACAGCGGCCGCCTGGGGGTACAGCTGCTACCCAGGGGGCAGTCTCGTTGACATGCTGTATTTTCACCAGTTTTTAAGATGTGCATCCCCCCCTCCCCCGCCTCCACAATTTAATATCTCTGAAATTAGGATGGAATTCATATGCAATAAAATCTGGAAAAGCGTCTCCAATTGGCTCAGCCCTGCGATGTCAGTCCTGCTCGTAAGGGACCCCACAGAAGAGAAAAATGGAGGCGGGGGGAGGTGGTGGGAGCCAGGACTTGTAGCTAGTGAGAGTCAGGGGCAGGGATCCAGCTGAAGTTTGCCTGGCTCCTCCTTGGGGGGAGACACTGAGCAGGTGGAAATGGAGCCCCCCACCCCCCCACCCCCTGGGCTGAGAGCGCAGGCAGGGGTCAAGTTGAGGGGGCTGGAGAGCTCTCCACCAGGAGCAGGAAGAGCGCGGACAGACGAGCGGATACCCCCGGGGCTGCTAACCCTTGGCCCCTTGTCTTCCCCATCATAGACCAGAGGAGCGGCCGCGCCCACCGTGGGGCCCCAGCTGGAGGGCCCGGAGCACCAGGCGCCCCTCACCTATTTCCCGTGGCCGCAGCCCCTGTCCACACTGCCCGCCTCCACCCTGCAGTACCAGCCTCCGGCCCCAGCCCTGCCCGGGCCCCAGTTCGTCCAGCTTCCCATCTCCATCCCCGAGCCGGTCCTTCAGGACACGGAAGACCCCAGGAGGGCCATCAATTCCCTGACCATCGACAAGCTGCTTTTGGAGGAAGAGGATGGCGACGCCTACGCGCTCAACCACACGCTCTCGGTGGAAGGCTTTTAGGGCCTGCTCGCCCGGAGAGTCCTGCTCCCCGAGCCTGGGATTTTACACTGAGCCTGGGATTGAGCCTCAGATTCACACCTGTTTGGAGTAGCTGTCTCACAACTACACTTTCCACCCTCAACTAGAATAATTGGCTTTCCTTCCTCCCTCCCCTCTTCCTCCTTCTTTCCTCCCTCCCTCCCTCCCTCCTCCTCCCTTCTTCCCCCTTTTCTCCCTCTCCCTTCCTTCCCTTTCTGCCTTCCTCCCTCCCCCCTCCTTGCTCCCCCCTCCTCCCTTCCTCTCTTTCTCCTTTCCTCCCTCCCCCGAACCCCTTCCTCCCTTCCTCCTTCCTTCCTTTTTTTTTTCCATTTCTGTTCCTATCTGAGAAGGAACTATAGAGATTTTTGTGGTAATATTGATGCCAGTGTTGCAAACCCATGTCCCAGGTGCTTTTATTTCTGCCTCATTTTGTTCATTGGAGCAGCAGCCCAGCTGAGCTGTCTTGGGGCCAGTGCCGCCCTGCCCTGTGTCATTTTGAGGTGTATGGGGTGGCCTCGCAGACCCACTGCCCAAGTCCTTGAGCTGTCAGTTCTCACAGTTGATTCTTTGTTTGCTGTTCTCTGCGCTGGCCAGATTTACAGTCTAGGCAGCAGAGTCCCAAGGCCTGGGGCTCAGTTAGGTGGTGGGGGTGGTGTTCCGGGGGAGAAAAATCAACAGCAGAGTGGGTGGGTTGAGGGACAGAGGAGGGAGGGGAACGTTGTGTGTGTGTGTGTGTGTGTGTGTGTGTGCGCGTGGGCATGTGTTGCGGTGGGGGGAGGGGGAGGAGAAGGTTGGGTGGGGAGAAGGAGGACTAAGGAACCACTGAGCTTCAGATTACTTGGTTATTAAGAAGGAGAATAAACTTAAGAGCAATAATTGCTTCGATTGGTGGTTTTGTCGCTCTCCTTGAGGATACTTGCGAGGAAAGCCGAGCTCTTATAATCGGGAGGGTTAATACCTCTGATTGCGCCTTCCCACGGGCGGACCCTCCGTGGTGCTCGCTGTGTGCGAACCAAAACTCACTGAAGCCCCGTGGGGGCGGGGTCCTCGCTCAGTGCCACACGTGGTTCTTCTGTGTCTTATAAAGAGCCATCATTGTGTGGGACCACAGCCTCCTTCTCAGGCACCTTCCTGGGGGCTTCTAGAAGCTCAGCCAGAAGTACCACTGGGTTTAATTTCAACGGATATTTTCTGGCTGGGGGGCCTCCAAACTGGCTGGTGCTGGAGCACAGCTGTTGCTGGGGGCGTTCATCTCCTGACAGGGGCTGTCATCTGCTGGCTAACCCCATTGTCAGCACTGGGCAGACAGCTTAGTGGGCGGAATCCATGACGAGGTAATAAACTTTTCTCAGAAACAATGGCTTCTTGGACACATTTTCTTGCCCTTTTAAAATAAAAACTCCAGAAAGTTGTCTTTCATTGGATTTTTTTTTTTTTTTTTGCTTTGGGTTTATTTTGACCCAAATGTCTCAGCATCTGCCTAAAATCTCAATACGAATATCTTGAATGATTTTTACTCAGACTTACTCTTTGGATTTAAAAGCGTAAAATTTCAGGTACCGAATTGACATCTTTGTTGGTAGTGATGGCGAGTAGGCAAGGGGGGGGTGCGGTTTCAGGCCTGTTGGATCAAACACCCTGGTTTCCTTTAAGAAAACACTATGCAAGATTTTTCAGCCTACTCTTGGAGGGCTTGAGAGGACGTAGAAGCAATCTCTGTAGGGGAGTTAAGTTGGCAAAAACTACCAAGGAAATAAAGTACTTTAAGTGTTTGCTAAGATTTGAACAGTGTCTTTTTGTCTCCTTACCTTGAGGTGAAAAGGTCTTGGTTGTAATAACCTCCCTCAGTTTCTTCCTGGGTTTTCCTGCTAAAATGGAAACATGTTAATAAAGATTTGCTCAGACTCCTGTGCCGAAGCGTTTTATTTCTTATCAGATTAATCCCCCTTCACCTGCAGTTCCGTGTCGGGCAGTGTGAGTGTAGGCAGCCGCTTACACCAGTCTTGTTGACTTTGCAACTTGATCTACAGCAAGGGAAGAAGGAACCGGCCCCACCTGCCTGCTGCCCAGCTCCCGCGGGCACAACGTGCGAGGCCCGTAGCCTTGTCTCCAGGCGAGCGGGGATCTGAGATGATGAAGGAAACTGTTTAACCCTATTGCCCTTCCTGGGTGTTATTCATGCTACATGAGTCAATTCTCGTGATGCTGGGTGTCCAGAGGTAAGTTCAACCACTGGTACCTCCACGTGTCAGAAGCTAGGCCCACAGGAAGCCAGCTCTCAGGGCCAGACATCACAGTGAGAGGGACGGTCAAGAAGCCTGCCAGTCCTCTGGAACACCAGTCCTTAGAGTGAGTAACGGATTGGAAGGTCTCCTTTCCCAGGTGATTTTCTGAGTTACTAAGAACTTCTGAGATCACTGCCTTCACTGTTCATCTCTCCTGGGGTAACCGTTTTTGTTTTTTTTTTAATAGTCCACTTTATTCTGCCATATGTCTTGTGTGCAGATTTTGGGGGACAATAGTATCTCCAGCTATTTCATGTGCTTTACTGGATCACCCCTGTTGTCTTTCTTCTTAGTCTCCGTGTAGATCATAATCCAGAATAAAGACGCGAAAGGAAACGTACTTGAGGATCTCTCCCCCCTCTAGTTTTACCAACACTCAGTGGGAGGGGAAGATCTTTTAAAAATGTACTTTGCCTCTGTCACCAGCTTCCGTGATGCCCTCGGTCTGCAGTGTGGAACATACGGCTGCCTTGGTCTAGGTCGGTGCCCTGTCAGATTCTGATCCGTGAAGCTGCCCATTTCCAGCGTGAAATGAGGCAGAAAGGAGAAGACGAGTACCCGGTGGGACAAAGAAGCTGAGCCTCTACAAAATAATAATGCCACCACGAGCCTCAAATTCTCTGATCCTTCATCTGCAATCATCTCTCAGTGGAATTTGGAGACGTGTTCTAAACATGAATTTCCTGAAATCAGAAATCATAGATAACTCATTTTGTAGTAACCTACTTTGTGAATCAGAGGTGAGGTACTCAGTAATTCCTCGCTGAATTGCATGAATTTGGGAGATTTTCCATCGATTCTGTTGAAGGAATACGGATACGGATGACACAGTTGATTACAGTGGAGCCTCCTTTCTGAGACTCACAGACACATGACGTTTCTCAGATGCTTTTTTTTTCCCCCCTTAAAGCTTGGGTAGGAACTTCCATAAGCTGGTCTTCTTATTCGTTAGTTCTTCAGGTACACCTATGGATTCTTCGGAAGGGCTTTACATTTTTTTCTTAATTAAAAATTTTTGGGACACCTGGGTGGCTCAGTCGGTTAAGTGCCTGATTCTTCATTTCGGCTCAGGTCATGATCTCGCGGTTCTTGAATTCAAGCCCCTTGGGCTCTGCGCTGGCAGCCAGAGCCTGCTTGGGATGCTTTCTCTCTGCCTCTCCCTCGCTCTGTGCCCTTCCCTTGCTCTCTCTCTCTCTCTGCCTCTCCCTCGCTGTGCCCTTCCCTTGCTCTCTCTCTCTAAGATAAATAAAATTTTTATTTTTTAAATTTTATTATTATTTTTTTAAATATATGAAATTTATTGTCAAATTGGTTTCCATACAACACCCAGTGCTCATCCCAAAAGATGCCCTCTTCAATACCCATCACCCC